TAGATTAAATGAAGACAAGGATAGAATATCAGATCTAGAAGACAGGGATGCAACTAGCAACCAGGAGAAAAAAGACATCTTAAAGATCGCAAGAGACCACAAAAAAATCAAAACAGCAGCTACAGGATGAAGCAAAGAACAGCAACATAAGATTGATTGGAATCAGTGAAAGAGCTGGAGGCAGCACAAATGCCATTAAAAACTTCTTCACAGAAATAATGGCAGAAAACTTACTAAACATAGATAAAGAATTTGACATACAAATATATGAAACATATAGAACTCCAAATAGCCACAACCAAAATAAATCTACACTAAGGCATATAATAATCACGATTCTGGAAATTCAGCACAAGAACAAAATATTACAAGCAGCTGGAGAATAGAAACATATCACCTATAAAGGAGAGGCCATCAGAATCACAGTAGACTTCTCAACACAAACCCTTAAATCAAGAAGGGCTTGGAGTGAAATATTTCAAGCCCTAAAGGAAAATAATCTTCAAGCCAGCTTGATGTACCGTGCAAAATTATCTTTCAAAATTAATGGAGAAATAAGATACTTCCATGACAAAGAACAACTGAAGAAATTTATGACCACTAAACCAGCTCTACAGAATGCTCTAAAGGACATATTAGAAAGAGATAACAAAGACCACAAGGGCAGGAACACCAATAGAAAGAAGCTGCTAGGCAGGATAAGCAATTAAACAGAGCAGAAAGATGGGGAACAAATAACAAGGAAACAACATGAAAAAGAAAAGCCAATACATATCAGTTATAACCATCAATGTAAATGGTCTCAAATCACCAATCAAAAGAAACAGACTGGCAGAATGGATCAAGAAACAAGATCCAACAATATGCTACATTCAAGAAATACCTGTAACTCAAAAAGAAGTTTATAGACTAAAAGTCAAAGGATGGAGAACAATTCTCCACTCCACAGGAACCCAGAAAAAAGCAGGAATATCTATTCTATTTTCAGACAATGTGAACTTCAAGCCAAAACTGATCAAAAGCGACAAACAATGTCACTACGTACTCATTAAGGGAAAACTCCAAGAAGAAGGGACAACAACCGTAAATATTTATGCACCAAACACAGGTTCACCCAACTACATAAAACAAGTATTAACTGACGTGGAAAACCAATTAAACACGAACATAATTATAGTGGGGGATCTTACAAATGGATAGAACAATTAGACAAAGAAATCAACAAGAAAATGTTAGAATTAAACCAAGCCTGTGAACAATGGACTTGACAGATGTCTACAGAGTGTTCCACCCTGAAACATCAGAAGACATATTCTTCTCAGCTGCACATGGGGTGTTCTCCAAAACAGATCATATATTAGCTGACAAAACATATTTAAGTAAATGTAGAGGAATTGAAATCATCCCATGCATAATTTTGGACTAGAGAACAATGAAACTCATAATCACAAAACTATATTAAAGGAAACCACAAAAACTGCATTAACACATGGAAATTTAACAACACCCTTCTGAACAACCAGTGGATCACAGAAGAAACTGAAGATGAAATTAAACACTATATACAATTAAATGATAATACTGATACAACATACCAAAACTTATGAGATGCAATGAAAGCAGTCCTATGAGGAAAATTTATAGCAATGAACTCACACATCAGGAAAACAGAACAAACTCAAATAAACAACCTAATGTTGAACCTGAAACTTCTAGAAAAAGAACAACAAACCAAACCCAAAACTTGTACAAGGAAGGAAATTATAAAGATAAGAGCAGAAATTAGTGCAGTAGAGACTAAAAAAATACAAAGAATCAATGAATCAAAAAATTGGTTCTTTGAAAGAATAAATAAAATTGATAAACCATTAGCCAATCTTGCCAAAAAGAGAAAAGAAAAAAAAATTTAAGCAATTTGGAATGAAAAGGGGGAAATCACAACAGATACCAGAGAAATCCAGGAAATCATCAATACCTACTCTGAGAACATATATTCTACTAAGATGGAAAACACAAAAGAAATGGACAGATTTCTAGACAAAATCGATTTGCCAAAACTAAATCAAGAATATATAAAAATTTTAAATAAAAACCAATATCAGCTAATAAAACTGGAAATGTAATTAAAAATTTACCAACAAAGAAAAACTCAAGCCCTGACAGTTTCATTGTTGAATTCTATAAGAAATTTAAAGAAGAACTAATACCATTAATGCTGAAACTCTTTTAAAAAATTGAAAAAGAACCAATACTTCCAAAATAATTCCTGGAAGCAAGTATTACCCTGATTCCAAAATGAGAGAAGAACCCAACCAAGAAGGAAAACTACAGGCCAATCTCCCTAATGAACATTGATGCAAAAATCCTTAATAGCATACTGGCAAACAGAATGCAACAAATCTTCAAGAAGATTATACAGCATGACAAAGTAGGTTCATGCCAGGGATGCAGGGATGGTTCCACATATGCAAATCAATAAATGCAATGCACCATGTCAACAGAGCCAAAGACACAAATCACATGATCATCTCAAGAGATGCCAAAAGGGCATTTGACAAAGTCTAACACACTTATGAGTGTGGTCTCTAGTTTCATCCATTTACCTATAAAAGCCTCCAGTTTGTATTCCTTTTTAGCTGAGTAGTACTCCACTGTATAAAAATACAACATCTTTTGAAATCTTTTTTACCTATAAATGTCTCAGGTTTATCCTCTTTTATGGATGAGTAGTATTCCATTATGTAAAAAGACTGCCTTTTTATCCATTCCTTGGTTGATTGGTGTTTGGGTTGTTTCCAAGATTTAGCTATTACAAATTGTGTTGCTATAAATGTGGGTGCACATAAAAAAAATGAAAAAAGTGGACCTCCCAAATTTAAAGACCCAATAAAAAATGGGCATGAGATGAATACATACTTCTCAGGTGAAGAAATACAAACAGTGAAGGAATATATTAAAATGCTCAATATCACTGGTTATTGGTGAGATGCAAATTAAAACACCACTGAGATTCTATCTCACCCTGGAAAGAATGGCTAGTATCAAGAAATCAACTAATAACAAATGCTGGAGGGGCTGTGGAGAAAAATCAACCCTTCTCCACTGTTGGTGTGTAGATTGGTGCAACCACTGTGGAAATCAATGTGGAGATTCCTCAAAAAACTGGGATTAGAGTTCCCCTTCAAACCAGCTATTCCCCTTCTGGGTATCTTCCCAGAAGAATTAAAAGCATCATTCCACAGCACTATATGTACACCAATGTTTATAGCAGCACAGTTTGTAATAGCTAAACCATGGAAATAACCAAAATGTCCATCAACCAAGGAATGGGTAAAAAAAGTTGTGGTCTTGTTATATAATGGAATACTACTCAGCCATAAAGAAGGCTAACCTTGAGACATTTATAGGTAAATAAATGCAACCTGAGACCATACTCATTATGAAATAAATCAGACTCACATGTACAAACATTTTGTCTCCCTAGTATGAGAAATTGAAAGAGTAAGGTCTAAAATGTACAATAGATATTGTGAAATAGGAAGAAATTGTTAAAAAGGAAAAAGGAACGAGGATGGGGGGAAGGAGAAAGGAAGAAAGAAGAAAGGGAAAAAAAAGGTAATCATACTACTAGTTTTTCTTAGTTCATTGAAAAAAAAAGGTTTGTGCTAGTATCATTCAGATAATTTTTTATGCCCACATCTTGTGCTCTGACTAACTACTTTGAAGATAATAATATGTGATGTATTAGCTATTGTTATTCTATTATTTTGTTATGAAATTTTATTTTTCCCATGAAATAAAAAATTAAAAATAAATAAAAGTAAAAGATTTGAAAAAGACAGCCCATGCAAATGGAAACCCCCCAAAAGTTGGTATTAAAATAAAAAACACAGGGGCTGGGGATTTAGCTCAGCGGCAAAAGCGCCTGCTCGGCAAGCGCAAGGTCATGAGTTTGGTTCCCGGTACCGGAGAGGGAAAAAAAAAAAAAAAAAACACAGAAAATCATATTTTTGGGTTAAGCTCCTAAATTAACTTGAACAGATGAAGTAAAACCCCAAACTGATAGCGAAAAGCTAAGGCAAGAGGATTACAAGTTTGAACTGAGCCTGGGCTGCTGAGACACTGTCTCATTTAAAATAAAACAAAGGTTGGATCTGCGGTTTAGTGCAAAAGCCCTGGGTTCAGTCCCCAGTGTTGCAATCAACAACAACAACAGCAACAACAAAACAAAAGGCAACAACAACCACCACAAAAATGCAAAAACAAAAAACCAAACCAAAACACACACACGCACACACACATCCAAAATGGACAGAAACAAAGAGTCACTTATGTTAAAGTTTCCCTTCACGATTCTGGAGCTAAGCTGTTTTCCTGACTGTTGGAAATTGACATTAAAGGGTCAATAGCTGTGTCTTCAAGGCAGGCTGGTTTTAATAGAAACCCTGAAGTAACCTTAGGCAAATTAGTCACCCCTCTATTGTTCTGGATCTCTGTCCCTGCCTGATGAGGAAAGCAACTGGAAATGACCAATCTGTTCTATGCCTTTCGTTTCTGCTTTCTTCAGCACTTCCTATGTGCACAAACAACCTCTGAGGGTGAGAAACTTTATGCTTCATGTAGTGCAGAGCTGCCCCAATCTTGAACATAAAGCCAAGTGAGAACAACTGTATTTTGTTCTGTAGCAGAGGACAGATATCAGGTCCGTAGTCCCTAGAAACTGACAAAAGGGAGCCAAATCAACCACAGCGGTGGGAGGGACAACACGCTCGGGGATTGTCTTCCACCAAGCAGTCCTTCAATTCCTACTACAAAAACAGCACTGGACTCTACTATGTAGAGGGCTCAGTCCCCCAGCTGACACTACTCCCAGGGTCGGCCACACAAAGTGGCCAGACTAACCAAGCTTTGGTCAAGCCAGCCACAGATTCAGGTTTCCAACAACCTACGGCAAGACTAGGTGCTTTGCCAGAGAACTCACAGAAACTCAGACAACACTGTTGTTTCTATTTAGTGGTTTATTATAAAGGCGGCAACTCAGAAGGAGCCAAGTGGAAGAGATACGCAAAAGAAGCACGCAGATGTGTGCGCTCACCATCCATCTCTAAGGATTTGGACCTCCAGTACCACCGTGTGTTCACCATCATGGGAATCAGCAAGTCTCCTTGCTCAGAGTTCTCATACAGGGTAATCTTTATACTGGAGACAGGAGGTTGGGATAGAAAATTTTGCTCTTCTACCCAGGATTTTTTGTCCATTTGGTAACACGTGTCATCTCATCAGCATAAATTCATACCTTGTCTGTAGGCCTGATTGTGAATAACTAAATCACCAAGGAATGCAGATAAGGCCTAATGTTTATTTTAATTTTGCTCCAGGAAGAAAGCAGAAAAGGACAGAGGGACAAGCCCAGCAGAGGAGGTCTGATACCAGCCACAGCTGGCCCCATGGGGAGCTCTGGAATCTGAGCGGTCCTTCAGAGAAGCCCCGTGTTGGGGCGGCATGGTCAGATCTTCATTATCCTGCACACATGTGAGGTGTATCAGCCTGGAGTTTGACACTGCAGAAGCAGGTACCTGGAGCAGCGCCTAGGTGGGAATGGGCTGACACGTGACCGCTACCTCCAAGAGGACTCCTAGCAGCTGGGGTAAGACGCCCTTCTGGAAGAGAGATGTGGGAGACCCACCTCAGGGTCCACCACAGAATCACCAAGTAGGGAAGGAGCTGGGTACTGTACAGCAATCCAACAGTCATGGACGAACTGAGGGATTAATTCGACAATGCCCCTAGACTGCAGGATGAACTAGAGCAACCAGAGACAGTCCCCAGGCTGAGAGGTGCAGGTCGGGTGAATGGAGGTGGAGCAGACTGAAGGGCAGGGACGGGTAGGCAAAGCCATACAGGGACATGTCAGCAGCTACACACGGCGCTGCAAACCTTCTGGTCTTATCAAGGCAGCGTAGATTGGGGAACACACCCCAGTCCTCAGTGTATCCCATGCCATCTCAATGGACCAGAACCATGGCCACCAAGCCAGAGGGGATCTCTGGCACAGGAGGAAGGATGGCAGTGCCTGAGCCCCGTGGAAGATAAGAGTGTGATGGAAAAGATTTGCAGAGCTACTGTTACTCTCTCCAGTCCAACAGACAAGGAGAAGGGGCTGGGGTAAATGAGGGTAAAACTGAGCCACCTGGCAGCTGCATTGGGGCTGCTGGGGGTGGGCAGAGATTCTGGGCATCAGTTGTTGGAGCAAGACGTCGCAGTCTTCTTGCAGATCCAGAAGTTGCTATTTTCACATCTGCCGTCATTCCAGCCATCGTTCTTGAACTCCGCACAGTCTTCCTCCCCGATATTGTTGGGCTCTCCTGTATTCCAGTAGTTTCCCAAGCTGCAAAGCGCATTCACAGTGTGAGTCTCTGCCCCGCCCCCCAGGGTGGACCAGATTTCTAGTGCTGATACTCGATGCTTTTCCATCCCTCGTGCACGCAGGTGGCAGACGTGCCTTGTTCTGGATACCCTTTTGCGTGTCTGAGTCACCTGGCCTGTGTGACACTGACCCTTGTCGCTCATGCTTCAGAGGCACCCGTCCTCTGAGGGTGTGGCTTTTAGATCCAACCCTACCCACCTTGCTTGTTGGTCTTCTGCAGCCTGGGCAGATCTACGCCTGTCCAGAGCCAGGGACCAGACAACCAGGAATAACACTGCCCACCTAGAACTCACTAGCATCCCTGAGTCCACTTCCCCTGCCTCAGCTCTTCCTCCCTGTGGACACCAGAATGAGAGCCCTGCCCCCCACCATTCCTCACTGCCTGCTCTTGTCTGGCCTTCATCCTTCCCTGTGTAACCACGTTGCTGTGATGATGTGCCCCATGTTGGGGTATGTGAGTATAATAATCCATCTTTTCTATGGCAATAGTCCTCTAATCCTTTTCCTCATGACTCTTCCGATGTTCTATTAATACACTGTATTTTAAATCTTCTTCATAGGTGGCCCCTCCTCCTGAAGCTCTGGAGGTGGAATTTTAGGCATCTGCCATCCTCTCTGTAGGTGGTATGACCTGCCAGCCCCTCAGTGCAGTCAATGTCCAAGATTCTTAAGCCTAGGTGGGGTATGGGCTGGGGAAGATCCTCCAGTGTGTGTAAGCCAGAGTTTCAGAGCCCCGCCCTCCTCTATAAGGTGTCCTCATCTCCCTGGACCTACCTGCTTGACAGAGGTGAGCCATCAACCCAGTGCCATGTGCCTTCTTTATTCAGGTCTGAGAGCCCCATCCAGGTGACGCCTTTACTTTTTGAGGTCTGCTGTAAGAAGCTCTGAGGGCGAGGGGAGGAGTCAGGAGGGAGCTCTGCAGCCTATTTTCTAGTTTACATCCTCAAACTCTCATGGCAGGAAGTTCTCCTTGATGTCTGTCCTACCAACCTCTACACTGTCAAGGCCGTGAGCTGTCATGCACGTTTTGGAGATCTGAGTCCCTCTCACATCTGTATGGGATAGGCAGATGTTTCGTCCCTTGCACACAGAATGCCCACAGCTGGTTTAATCAGGGATACTTGGTAATACCAGGCATCTGTCTGAGCATGTCCATATGAATTTTTTCAGGGACTGGGTTAATGCACTGCCAAAAGATCATACCAGTTCATAACTGCTGATCACGCACATCACTGCTCAGGCCTGCATTTAATGACATCCCATTGATGGACTGAAATAAGGGAAATCGCCAAATAAGATAGAGAATTTTTGCTACTAGTAAGTTCTTAAAGACTGGCATACACACCAGCAGGAGTCATTTACATTTTGATTTTCCACAAACTCTGCACCCATGTTCAGAACTTGTGTATGAGCCCTTGCAAGGTGCAGGAGAACCTCCCACTGCACCCTCCTGCTTTCCCCTCTCCCCGTACCCGGAGCCACCCCTAGTCCAGAAAACCCCCATCTGACCAGTCATCTCCCCAGAGCGGGCCAGCATCCAGGTGCACGCCCCAGACGAAGGCCCCTTGCTCAAACCACGAGCACCTGCTCCTCGGCGCTCTCCACGATGACCAGTTGGGCCCCTGCCTCCTTGCAGGCGGTCACTGAGTCGTGCCAGTTCCGCTGGGACTTGGAGAAGAAGTAGCACTTTCCTTGGAAGAACGTCCAGTCCCAGGAGCAGGGGCGGCACAGGTTGCCTGTTGGAAGACGTGGTCAGGATGGACTCACATTTGGATGTCCTTGTTCAGGCTTCATATCTCACCCTGCCTGACTCAACATTCCAGGGTAGCCACTTCCTGAGCACCACAAGCAGACCACTGCCTGAGCCTCTCCCTACCCTAGGAAACCCCAGGAATCCTGGTCCCACCTCCTCCAGGCTGGGAGAAGTAGGGACTTTGATGTCAGAAGAAAGGCCAGGAGATGCTTAGTTCAGTTCCTTCTGTGTGTGTGTGTGTGTGTGTGTGTGTGTGTGTGTGTGTGTTCCCCTGTGAAAAGCTGGCACCATCCTGACTGCTGCCCTGTGTCCCCAATTCACAGATGAGCAAACTGAGGCCCAGAGAAGACAGGGGACACCAGCAAAGTGACATGAGGCCCAGGCCCCCTCAGGTCCCTGGAGATCCAGTTTCCTGTCACTCACTCATTCTGTCCTTCATCTGGGCCAGTTCCTGGTAGACCTGCTTCTGCTGTGACTGGTCTTGTTCATACTCCTGCCTGCTTGGGATATTTGAGACTGTGCCAAGACAAAAAAAAAACTGTAGTTATTAAGCACCTACTGTGTGCCACATCCTCCTCATTGGTTCAGTGAAGCAACATCTTGATTCCTCTTCTATGAAGAGTAGAAAAACTGACTCCCAGACCAGCCTGAACCCCAAACGCAAATGGCACCAGAGCCCTCTTCTACACCCGCTCCTCCTCTTTGCTCCAGGAGAGGTGGGAGGGGCCCTGAGAAGCTCCTAGGAACCTCTGAAGAACCCGATCCAGTTTGAGACCCGCCTCCTTCCTGGACCTGCCCGCCCCAGCTGAAGGAGCCCCAACCCCGAGCCCCGCCCTGACCTTGGGCAAGGATGGCCACCAAGATCCCAGCGAAGAGCGTGAGCATGAGCAGCTTCAGGACCAGGGGGATGGGGTGGTGGAGGTGACAACCTGCAGGAAAGAAGCTTGGGTTATCCAGTCCACCAGTGTCCCCGGCTCAGCCTGGCCCGGGGGCAGTCCTGCCAGCCACTCCTTCCCCCATATCCAAAGGCTAGCAACCACCCTCCCGAGGACCCAGGGTTCAGTCTCAGCGTCCATTTCTTCCAGACTCCAGTATCTGGGAGGGGCCGTCCATACCTCCTCAGCCCCTGACGGGGTTCTACCTGCAAGGCTGTTGAATACGGAAGCCTGTCGGTGTCCAGATCTGTTCATTGCATTTCTGGGTCTGCTGTCTATGAGCTGTTCCTCGTCTGAAATGAGCAGAGAATCAAGTCAGGCTGAGACCCGAGAAGGCTCCTGACCTCTTCCCAAACTCCCAGAGTCCCAGCTCAGCCTCACCCAGGGGGCCCTGCTCCTGCGCCTGTGCTTTCCCAGGGGCAGTCATGGTCACCGCTGTCCTTCAGTGCCCAGAACTGCTGAGGGCTATGGCTTTTATGTCCCACCCCTTTGTTTTCACTCCCCGAATCTCCTCTTTTTCAGGAAGAAAAACACGGAACTGGACACCAGCACAGGAAGAAGGGAGAGGAGGGGCCCAGCCTGTGACACAGTGCAGTATGGCCGGGACCTAAAGTTCCAGTAATTATAGGGAGGGGCTGGGGTGGTCAGAGTTCAGTAACTGAAAGAACCCGTCCACTCACGGCACTGCCAAACTGTGTGACACGTGTACTGAAGCAAAGAAATTGGGAAATAAAGCTATTTTTAAAATTCCTCCTTAAACTCTGGCGCAACTGGCTTATGATGCTTCATGTCCTCCTGGAAACTGTCCCTTTGTTACCAGATTCTGGAGGTGTGCAGGCTCATCCCAGGTCCTTGGTATCTTGAACAAAGACGTGGACCACATGTGAAAAGGTAATGAGCTTTTCCATGCATTAAAGGTAGGAAAAGAAGTTTACCCCTCACCTGGGTACTTAGGTGGCCACAAGGTTCATGGTGGAGGTCTTGAAATTAAAAAAAAAAACTGGCTTGATTTTGCTCCTGAATTGGAGATTACTCTTTCTGACCGGTCCCAGGTGCGGGGCTTGGGAGCTGCCTCTGTGAGAATGCATGCTGGTCTCCGCGCATGACAGGTCCCGCCCACTTGCTCAGCTCAGCCGGCTGGCCATGCCCTAGTCTCCTGCCTCACCTCCCCTGATGCTCAACTGTGTTGGTGTACTTATATCCCCACTTATGGGAATTTCTCCTGGCGTATGGCAGTGAGGCCAAATCATCATTGCTTATATTTATTTAATGCTGCTATAGTCAGGTACTTTCCTACCTGCTTTATATGTGTGCTAATCTAACCTTCCCAGCCTGTGGTAGATGATCCGACTTCCATTTCATAATTGGCCAAGCTTGAAGCCCGAGGAGCTCAGTTAACTGGCCCAGCGTGCCATAACAGGTGAATAATGTGGAGCTGGAAATTGATCCTAAACAGTCCGTGCCCATAGTACACAGCCAGAACCACAGACAGTCACACAGGCTCTTTCTTCAGAATCTTCCAAACTGAAAAACTTCCAGGTGGTCACCAAGAGGTCAGTGAAGAAATAAGTGGTGGCTTTGACAGATGGAAGACTATACAGCAATGAAAAATCAAATTCCTGATGCATACAGTAAGAATCCCTCAGTCTGCCAGTAGAGTAGAAGTATTCAGGCCAAGAGAATGCACGCTCTAATAATATTGGCCCAGGTTTTCCGTCCATTTTGAGAACAGGCGGAGCAAATACTGACCCAAATTGATAAGGAACGTTACTAGAAATGGGAATTTACAAGGAAGGGGAAGCGGAAAATCTTCTGAGAGCTAAAAATGTTCTATGGTTTAATTGGACTGGTAGAGGCATGGGTGCGTTCATATGTAAAAGTGACAAGCTATATATTCAAGACTTGTGCACTGGTTTATGGGCCAGGCATTAAACTTTGTGTTTTTCTAAAAACGCAGTCTTCACTAGTTTCTCACAATGACTTGAGAGAACCTCCTGCACCATTTGCCAGTTGTAGATGAGGATGGTGACTCTCCACAGCCACCAGCCAAGAGTGATGGGGTCGGGATTCACACCATGGTCGAGGCACTCCCCGTCTTGTCTCTCAAAGCCAAGAATGTAGGAAACAGGGAGATAGATTTTGCAAAAAGGGAGGGGACCAGGAACTAGAAGACAGTGAGAGGGTAGAGGAAGGGAGTAAAAAAGAATTAACCTCCCCATGATGAGTGTGGTCATTATGTACTGCACACATGTAGTAATAAAAATAAAAATTAAAGAGCAGTGAAAATGTCAAGAATTTTGACAGAGAGGTTTTAGAAAAGCAAAGGAAATTATCTCCAAGTTACCGTTATGGATTGAATTATGCCCCTCCAAAGATATATATCGATATCCTAAATCGCGGAAAATGTGAATGGACTCTCTGGACATATTAAAAAAAATTTTTTTGCATTTTTTAGTGAGTGTCGTATCTCAGTTAATAATTCACAATACATGCACGCGTTATAAAGAAATTGTGAAAAAATATCACATTTGCTTTATCTTATTTATTTATTTATTTATTTTGGTTTTTCTCCGGTACCAGGAACCGAACTCACGACCTTGCGCTTGCCAGGCAGGCGCTTTTAGCTGCTGAGCTAAATCCCCAGCCCTGCTTTATCTTATTTATATAAATATTCTAGGTTATGTTTCTAATGGAGGAAGTTTTGCCAAGGTAGAGTGGAGATTTCTCATACTCTTCACTCGGTTTCCCCTAATGCCGGCCTTCCACACACCAGCGAGTGCTCCTGATGGGGATGCACTGATGCTGACATCTTCATCATGATTAACACACCCAGGGACCTCCAGGATTTGTTTGGATTTTGCTATTTTTCCCTTGTGTCTTGATCCCGTCCCTGAACCCCACACATTCTGTGTAGATGTCACATCTCCTCGGCCTCTGCTGGGCCCCGGCACTTTCTGTGACTCGCTGTGTTTTGATGACTTGGACCGTTCGGAGGATGACAGGTCAGCTGTCAGCTGTTTGGAACGTCCCTCCGTGTGGCAGTGCTTTGTGCTTTTACCCCAGGCGGCCTGATGTCTGGCACTTTCGGAAGAAGAGTTTCGGTCGCGTCCTCTGATCCGGGGCACAGGTGTCCAGCTGACCTGTCGCAGAGAAGATGGAGCTTGCTGACGACCGAGGACAGCTTCTCCATGCGTCTCCATGTACACGCGGATCAAACAACTTCTTGTCAAGCACAAAAAGTGGATCAGGATATCTATTAGCGTACCGCACTGTAAAGCATAAACCTCACACAAGCATCTTACTAGGCTGAAAAAAAAGCAAAATTCAACCGCAAGTCATGATTTATATTTTTAAAAAATTCCAGTCAAGTAGAAATAAAATGAAATGTCCTTAACATGATAGGGAGGAACATAAAAAACCCACAACAGATTTCATTCCTACTCCAGAAACGTTAGTCTCATTTCCATTGAAATCAGGGAAAAGAATGCAGACAGTCCACAGATTGGAGAAAATACTTGCAAATCACAACTTATATAAAGGTTTATTTTCTCCCACTACGGAGAGGATGCGATATTTACACATGCATCCAATTTATTTCACTTAATAATAGGGTCTCAAAGTGCATCTATTTGCCTAGAAATGTCTCAAGTTTATCCTTTTTATGGCTGAGTACTGCTCCATTGACGCTTTTGGAAATTAGCATTAGAGGGTTAACAGCTAAATTTTCCAAATTGTCTAGTTTTAATAGCAACCGCGAAGTAACTTCGTGTAAATAAGTCATCTCTTATTGTTCTGGATCCCTGCTCCCGGCTTGCAAGGAAAGTAACTGGAAATGACCCATCTGTCTTATGCCTTTTGTTTCCGCTTTCTTCAGCACTTCCTATGTGCATAAACAAGCTCTGCTGCTTTGAGGATTAGAAACTGCATGCTACTTCAGGCAGTGTGCAGAATTGCGCTCAATTTAAAGGTGACCATAAAGCCATCTGAGATCAACTGTATTTTGTCCTGTGACAGCAGATAGATTTCACATCAGTAATCCCAGGAAACTAACAAAGCAGTGAGAAAATTAACTCAAAGCAACCTCAAGGAAGGAAAAGCAGGTAAAAGCAGAGAGAGGAAACAGTAGAAAAAACCAGAGTAATAAAACCTTGTTGAAGACTGGCTGTCGCTGAGATGGAATTTCACACGCGAGTTGTTGGTGAAGGAACATCTGTGATGTCACAAATTGGTGTTCCCAACAGCCTGCTGCAAGGTCTGGTGATTTGCCGGAGGATGCACAGGAGCACAGGCAGCACCCTGGTTCTATGCACTTCTTTGTTATGAAGGGTGCAACTCAGAAGGGCCAGGTGGAAGAGATAGTTAGGACAAGGGCATAGTGAGGGTATGGGTGTGGTTCCCATGCACGCCCAGAGGTTTCCCACTCTCCAGGACATTTATGTGTCCATCTGCCAGAGAACTCACCAAATCTCCTCTTTCAGAGTTCTCATAGAGGTCAACCTTAATGTCCCATCGCTGGAGACAGGCAGCGCAGGTTGAAAGTCCCAGTCCTCCAGCCAGGTACTTGGTCCTTCTGTTTACCAGTGCCTTGATGAGGTTCTATAAGGACCCTTCCTTGTATCACCTCATTAGCATAAATTTGTGTATGGTTCATACGGCTGATCATGAATAACCAAAGACACCCCTATCACCAAGGAATGCAGACAAAGATCTAACATATCTTTTAATTTTGCTCCAGGAAGAAAGCAGGAAAGGGCAGAAGGACAAGCCCAGCAGAGGAGGTCTAATAACAGCCACAGCTGGCCCCATGGGGAGCTCTGGAATCTGAGCAGTCGTCCAGAGATGCCCCGTGTTGGCGCGGCATGGTCAGATCTTCATTACCCTGCACAAATGTGAGGTGTATCAGCCTGGAGTTTGACACTGCAGAAGCAGGTACCTGGAGCAGCGTCTAGATGGGAATGGGCTGACACGTGACAGCTACCTCCAAGAGGACTCCTAGCAGCTGGGGTAAGACGCCCTTCTGGAAGAGAGATGTGGGAGACCCACCTCAGGGTCCACCACAGAATCACCAAGTAAGGAAGGAGCCAGGTATTTGTACAGCAATCCGAACAGTCATGGATGAACTGAGGGATTAATTCGACAATGCCCCTAGCCTGAAAGATGAGCTACAGCAACCACAGAAAGTCTCCAGGCTGAGAGGTGCAGGGTGGGAGAATGGAGGTGGAGCGGACTGAAGGGCAGGGATGGATAGGGTAAAGCCATACAGGGACATGTCAGCAGCTACACCCGGCGCTGCAAACCCTCTGGTCTCCATGCCACAGCATATAGAAATGCCACAAAAGAGTGAAAAAGCCCAAAGAGTCATGCATAGTAAGATTCTGTTTTATGTGAATTTCAAGAACAGGTAGAATTAATCTTTGAAGAGGATTGGAAAAGGGGGCTACCTGGAAGAGGTGGTGGAAATTGGCCAGAAGAGGGTACAAATAGGTCTTTTGTGAACTAGAAATGTTCTATCATTTTCTATCTGAGAGATGGCTGCATGGGTATTTTGATATAAGTGTCTTACCTTGCATGTGTAAGACATGTGCATTGTGCTGTATGTGCATGACATCTCATTTAGAAAATGAATGCATTGTCATCAAACATATTTTGCTTTGCCTTAACTGTTTAAATATTTGCATACATGCTTTTTCTTAGGAAAAACTTACATTTATCATCATGTTGCAAAAACCACAGAGGGTTTCCTTATTCATCTAATCCAGGTTCCCCTAATGTTGACCTTCCATGTAATAAGTCATCTGACAGATAAATGTCTCATATCCAAAGTACACACACAACTCCAAAACTCAACAAGATAACGCATCTAGTTTTAAATGAAGAAAAGTACAACTCAAGAACAGAAAAAAATTAAAAATAGACAAAAGACTCAAACAAATATGTCTCCAAGAAATATATATATAAATGATCAACAAGGACAGTCTAAAAGTGCTCATAATTGGTCATTATTAGAGAAATTTGAGAAATTCAAATCAAAACCACAGTGAGATATCATCTTGCACACATTAGGATGTTTGCTCTAAAAATAATGCACATTGGCAGGATATAGAAAAATTGGAAATGTGCATTATTGATGGAGGTGTAAAATAGTGCAGCTGCTCTGGAAAAATGTGACACTTTCTCAAATAAGTACAAACAAAATCAACATATCACCCGGAAATCCCAATTCTGAAAAAGTGAAAAGCAAGGTCTCAGAAGATTTTTGTACACCCACATTCACAGCAGCATTATTTGCAAGAGCTTAAAAGTGCAAGCAAACCGAGCATCAATCCATGAATAGGGGGATCTACACAGTGTAACCCACCTGACAGAAGTATTAATCAGCCTCTAGCAAGGACAGGAATTTCAAGGTATGTTACACTGGGGAAGAACCGTGAGGACATTCTCCTAAGTGAAATAAGCCAGTTGACACAAGACAAATACCGTATTGTTCCACTCACAGAAGGTGCTAGTATACTCACATTAATAGACCCAGGAAATGGAAAGGAAGTTGCCAGGGGCGAAGGTGTGGGGACTGGGAAGCTAATGGATGCAGAGTTTCAGTCTTGTGAAATGGAAGAGTTCTGCACATAGATGGCAAGTGACAGCTGCAAAACATTGTGTGTGTACCTAATGTCACTGACCCTTACACTTACAAATGCATTAGGTGGTATATGTTGCATTGTGTATCAAACCACAACTAAAATATTTTTTGTATGGCAAGAGATCTGAACAGATACTTCACAAAAGGAAATAAGCGTATGAAATATCCTCAGCAATTGTGCTTTAATACCTCCCACTCACCCCATTGATAGTGTGCTCATCAGTTTTTCATCACTATGACAAAATACCCAAGGATAACGGCATAAAGGAGGGAATGCCTATTTTGGCTCACAGTCAGGAGGGGTTAGTCCATGGTACTGCTTTTAGGCCTGAGGGAAGACAGAAACATCCGAATGGCGGGACATGGTGGAGGAAAACTGCTCCCTCCATGGTGCCAAGGCAGGAGCAGCAAAGGGAACAAAATAACCAGAGAGGAAAGGGTCAGGAGCTAGAAATATCCTTCAAAGCCATGACCTCAGCAACCTGCTTCCTCCAAATTCATTCCACCTCTGAATAGCCTATTCAGCTATTACCTAATTAGTGGATTGATCTATCATACTGGGCCTCAGTTTCAGGTCTTATTAACTCTTGGGTACATGACAACAATTTCAACTTTGGTGATGACTGAGAATTTTAGAGAGCAGGAGAAACATCTCTCCAGGAGATGAATTACACACATATATTTTATATATAGAGAACCACATACAATCTCTCTCTCTCTCTCTCCCTCTCCCTCTCTCTCTCTCCCCCCCTCTCTCTCCTTCTCTCTCTCTCTCTCTC